CTTCTTCTGACTTGCATTTTGTGGGACTGCTGGAACTCATTACGCTGGCACAGCTGAAAAATAAGCTGGGATTTCGACACACTTAGCACATTTGTAAGGAGTTTATGCTTTTAACTAAACTTTGCCACTGACTTTTCTCCCTTGACATGTGAGGGAGGATTTCTTTTAAGCTGTAAGCTTTTTTAAACAGTTTTTATAGTCAAACAGTATTTATAATCTTTGAATTCATACAGGACTAAAAAGAAAATTGTGGTGGTAGAAGGAAAGAAAGAAAGAATAGGAAAAAAAGACCTAAATAATCAAACACATGGAAATTGTAATAAAGATTTCCCTATGCAGGAAGTCCTTTTGGTTTCGCAGGCACATTGCCAAGGACAAGGAGATCAAGCAGGCTTACACTTTTTACATTGTGAAGCTGGAGATTTCAGTCTCTTGTTCATTTGCTCCCACTGGTTCATTCAGCACAGTTACAAAACTTCCTACTCCTTTCCGAAAATATTGTAGGCACAGATTACCACACAGTATTATTATTATTTCCAGTACACACATTAGTTTCATACCCTCAGGGAGAAAACTACTCAGACTTCCAGCTCAACTGGAGAAAAGGATCTTCTTGAAATTCACATTCTTTCTGAAATTCTAATTTATGCATAATGGTTAAAACTCTGCATGTCTGTCTTTGCAGAGGGAAAAAACCCAAAACACAGAAAATCATTTCTGCTTCTGCAAATCCCATCTCATATATGGTACTCAGATAACAACCTCAAAACGTTATCATCAAAAGCATACTCTCCTTTCTTGCAGCAGAGTTCTGCATTTGAAAATTCATAGAAGATTATAATTATCTTAACCCAACAGGTACAGAAAATGAATCAAGCAGAGGTGAAATCCAATCTAACTGACACGCTGACTTGAGTCTGAGCACCACAAGAAGAGCCTTCTTCATCTAAGTTGCTCCCCTCATCAGTGGGAAGGCATAGGCACCACACAAGCCATCTAAGAGAAATCCCATGTGTGCCTGATGATCAGGAGACCTTCACAGCCGCCCACTTTCCTCACTGCCTAGAAAGGGAATTTAAGGACACACTCCATAAACGCCACTTCATTAAATGCCTAGAATTTAGATATGAATTAGGAGCAAAAGTCAGGGACACTAACTCTCTCCTAGGCACCTTCAAACCTCCCTGATTCTCTTGCTGGAATCTAATGGGAAGGGAGACAATTAATTAGGACTTCTTTTGGCACCTGAAATACAGGCGTACTTATGTGAATAAAGTGGATGGGCATCTACACTTGATTTCCTCCTCTTTCCCGTGCTGTGGCCTTCTGAGACAACCACCATTTTCTTGCAAAATTAATGGTAACTGAAATTAGGGCACTTCTTTGTTGTTGTTCGCACTGAAACCAGCCACTTAGTGCCACAAATACGACTGCAGAAAACATGTTCCTCTAAGTACACTTTGCAAAGTGCCTGGGTTTTAGAAAGGCAGCATCATAAAGTGCCATATGGGCTGTCCTCCTGCTCTAAATGTGAGGAAAAACAATGTGAAAAGGGAAAAAAAAAACATGTATTTTGCTCTTGCTGTCCTTCTGGGCCTCCTGAGTCCTCCCTTCTTTCAACTGATAATAGTGAAACTACCTCATGCTACTGTCAGCAGCACAGAGACACCTTTGCTGAACAGCAAAGCAGAGATACGCGGGTTTTTCTCTTTGAAAGACTGATTTTTTGAAAAAGAAAAAAAAAAAAGAACTGTTTTCAGTTTATGTGACTGCATTCAAGTCTAAGATTGCCTCACCGACACTTGGTTTTGGATAATCCCAGTTTCTGCAAATCTCCAATAATACAAATGTTCCGTCTACTCCCCGAAGCAACAGCTCCCCCGAGCTAAAAGTACCTGTGGCTGAGCATGAACCCCGACGAGCCCTAAGCTGAGGTGATCTGCACTTCATTTCTCCTGTTCTACCAGCTAGCACTTTCCCGCAAATTAAAGAGATTTACAGAAATGTTTCTGACCAGCACTACCTGTGAGCAAGAAAATGACTAAACAGCCGCTTGCAAATATGTACCTTCTTGGTTGTTCCTGTTCAAGATTTATTCTATTTGTTTCCTACTGCCACCTTTTACAGCCATTCAGTGTTTTTTGCCTCTGGGGAAGTCATGGCATCTAGGAACAGCAAGGACAGAGGAGCCCTAACTCCACTAGCTTCACCTTGTGGCCCACTCTGGGAGGGAAAAACGCGTCACAGAGTGGTAAGGACATTCATTTACTCGCAAAGCCGATGGCATTCGCCACTCTTACTAGGGCCCCCTGCTAACATTTCTTGGTGTCTTTTTAGGCACGGAGACGCCTTTCGCACAGGGAGGAATTGCAAGGTAAGAGGATTGCAGAACTTGCTGTCCACTGGTGAAAGGTGTCTCAAAGCCGTGAGGGGGCCCCTGCTCCCCTCCATTTGCAGCAGCCAGCTCAGTGGAAGATAAGGTCACCCCCTGTGGGCCTTTTCTGTTGCTGAACTCCCACAAACCACAGGGTCTCAAGGGAGAGAGAAATTTGGGCAACTAATGTGTTATGGGTCTGTACATTTATTTTTGGGCACAACATGAACTGGGTCAGCTCTCCAGACTCGGGCTCCTGTCAGCGTGCCCCATGGTGACATGAAATACAGGCTGTTCTCATCAAGTCCAATCATCTGCTCCAGGGCTACAGCGGCACAATGCTGATCTTCCCATGGAAACTTAACCTTGCTTTGCCATAAGGAGATGTTGAGCATGAGGTTTAATGACTTCCCTCAAGTAAACCACCCCACTGTCTGCTGACCCTCCTATTAGCCTTGGCCTCATAACCACGCTAAATGCATCCTTTTGATTCTAACCTGTGTTTGCCTCCTAATTGCATCATTCCCGCCCATTATGAACAATTTTTCTCCGTCCCATATTTCAAAGAATGTACCCGGACTTCCATGAACCACTGATTTCTGTTTGTTCAGGTTAGACTAAACAAATTAGCTGTTTTTACTCTCCCTATGTAGGCTGTACTCTGTAGCCATTAGAGCAGTTCTTTCACCCTTCCTTGAACTCTCATGATCTAAGATATAACATATGCTCTTAGATAGCTACCATATGTATGGGTTCATTCAGGGTTAAACAGGATTGACTGAGTTATGGACACTGAGCACCGTAACAGTGCTCCGGACCAACCTAGTTGTTTTTTTAAAGTCTAGCTTGCAAATACATTACTTTTTCACATGACTTTCTTGTACTCTGAAGAAGCCACCAGATCCAGGGCTAGAGAAGTTTCCCATATGAAACTTTCCTTCAGATTTGGGTTTGTGGTTTTTTCTTAAGAACATGTTTGAAAACAATTTTGCTTCATCTGAACTAGTTGAAATTTTAAGGTTTGTTCACAGATCTTAATGTATATTTCCATTCATATAGGCAATTTTGCTCTTTTTCTCCTATAAAGATGTCTTAGAGCATTACCACATAAATTTGTACTTATTTTGAGGTTAGGCAATTGGAGTAGCTCTTAAATGTTTTTCTCAAGCTAATCAGGTTAGAAAGCTTTAGTTTGCTTAGACAAAAGTGAGACAGTAAAAAAAATAAAAAATATTCTCTGTCATGGCAGCATCCCTTTAAACATACATCTGTGTATTGGTATTCAAAAGAGTATTTAATTTACCCTTTTTGTGAGGGAAGAGATAGGAAGATTGCTCAGGAAGATACCCTGGGAGGAAGCATCTGTTTTTTTCTAAAGTTGTCCTGCTTTTGCTCAGTTTTACAGCTGACTCGACCAAGGCTGAAGGAGGTCAGGAACCTGGCTGAGGTCAAATTAGCTCTTTGGATTTTGCCTTCCTACATTTCGTTCTCAATTACATGGAATGCCTACAAGAACTCGAAAAATATCTGAGAATATAGTACTTTCAAATATAAATCCAGAAAAAAAAAAGAAGAAAGGAGAAAAAATATAATTGCAAAGTGTGACATGCTGGAAAGAAACTTCCTCATCAGAAATCCACTAGTCAGTCTTCTCAGAGGCATACAATAAATGCTTTCCAAAAGCATGGCAAGACTAGGCTTACTTTTGACCAACCATCCTAATAAATGTAAGTCAAATATAGGAAGGAAAATAGCAACATGTGATTCATCATCTTCCCATCACCTAACTTTTCCTCAGCCGATTTCAATCTACCTGTCAGAGAAAACAAATATGATCACCTCTATTCAAAGACAGAGGAAAATAAGGCACAGAAATGGGGGAATCCTCCTGACAGGACACTAACAGTGAGAGAGAGAGAGGCAGAAACAAGCTGCAGTCAGTCCCAACCATTAGACTTGGCCTTTTCTTTGTAGCTAAAGCCATGCCATAAATACGCACAGATACTCACATCTCCTACACTGATACTGATCTCAAGTTGTGTTTGGAAGCAACCCAAGTTTTCCAACGCAGACTCCGTTAATAGGCTGTATTTGTATCATTCCAAACATAAGAGATCCAACTTAGAAAAAAAGAAACAACTAAAGAAAACAAAACTCAGGCTATGTTCAAGGTTCAGATCCCTCCCTTTCTAACTGTAATGAAAAAGAAATTATTGGTATTACTGATACTCTGTCATCACATTCTCAGCTCAAATTCAGCCCACTGAGGGTGCTCATGGAAAAGGAGCAAGCTGATGAGAAGCTCAGCAGTTTTCTTCAGTTTCCAAGCTAAGTTAAACGCAAATTAATAGGACAAAAGGACAAAACACATCTTATCTTTTTCAAAGCAAGCACACAAGCAATTCATATACCCAATAAAAAAAGTACGTTGCCCAGAGAAGAAAACAAAGAGTGTCGTGAAAAAGAAATGGAAATAAAAATCCCTTTAGTTTTAATTGTATACAGCTGAGATGATTAACAGCAAAGCTGAGGAATATTTTGATGCACAAAATGGCAATTCCCCTTCCAAAGTTAACGGCTTTCAAGGCACCGTGGATTGGACAACCCCGGATCAGCAGGGCCTTACCAGGATCATGTGACCGGTGGAGATGTCCATGTTGGACTGGACGGGCTCTTCACACCAGGACGACGTGCTGCTCCGCGCCGACGGGCTGGGAATGGGCCCATCGCTGAACTGGGAGGAAACGCTGTTGATTCGAGACGCGTGCAGGGGCTCCGGCCGGTCAGACGTCTTCACTGCCATGCGCTGGCGACATAGCTCCTGCGGAGAGCAAAGAGACACCCTGTAACCACAGCTAGAGCCCAGCCAGCAGCAACCACAGAACGGAGGCTACGCAAGACCTAAGACGTGCACTGTATTTCCAGGGCTGGCACTGCTTTCCCCCTGGCTGCTGTGATCTTTGGGCAGCTGTCTGCTCTGCTCTCCACATTTCCTAGCAAAGCTCAGTGAATTCAAAAGCCCAGTTACGACGGTATGCATGTCTCTTCTTGGATACAGTAAAATGGTATTTTGGAGCTTCATCTCTAAAGTAGCTTGTTTCTTTCTGTAGCATTGCTCTGCTTTCTATGAACCCTCTTCTGAACTGTGAAACCCACTGAAGCTAACGGGGTTGCACAGGAGAAATGGAGACCAGCACCCGGCCCTGAACACACAACTCAGCAAGCTCCAGGCGACTGCGCCGATGGGCTCGCCCATATCAATTCTGGTTGATAAATGCAATATTTCTCTTCATTACAACAGCAAAACCACAACACTTCTTCCCTAATGTGGGGCAGGTAGTATGAAGAGCGACATTAGCAAAGAATTTAAAGCCCCAAATCTGACACTTGCACTGTTTAAACAGCTTTGGTATGGAAGGAAGATCCAAGCTATCACACACACTAATGCAAGCCATGTTAACGCTCCAAAATAGATCGCACTGTGAACATGTATTTTCAGTCACACTCATGCACAGAAGGCACGTAAAAATAAAGAATTCTGTTTATGTAGGAGGAACAACTTCCCAGGGTAAAAAAAAAAAAAATCTGATTCCAATGGGACGGACAGATCCACAGTTACAAAGTTGTCCCAGGGTTGCTTTCAGAATCATTAACGTGCAGTAAAATCTCGGAGTATATAATAAAATGACCATTTTTAACGTATGGTTATATTCCAAAGGAGAGATCCGGACGCCTGTGTCGCACAGCAGGATGGGCTGGTCCGCAGTGTGTGGACACACTGTACACGCGGTGCGGTTACACATTTGTCTCCCATCACTCATTTTGCACAGACGAGCACTACGAGCACAGTCTCTTGCCTCAGGCTAATGGAATAATAGTCTGAAGAATTCATACCGTGGAAAAGCTGCGGCCTGTTTTCTTATTCACTGATAACATAGCTGCAACCTAAGTGCCATCTGTGGGATGGCTAGAGAAAAATCTAAGACACCATGTGCGATAAAATCTTATTTTCATAGAGGAGGTCGGAAACATTTAAGAACAAAGTTGTTTAATGTGAAGAGGGGCCCTGATTCTCATGGCAGTGGGTGCAAGCGCTCAAACCGAAGTGCTGCAACTGTTTTACTGAGCCCCTCCTGCCAGCGAGCAGTGCTCCCAAATGCAGCTGCTACCTGCATCCATCAGCTTCCTATGTTTGACAATTTGTTCCACACCGTACATGAAGATTTTCCGCGTTTGCAAGGAACATTTTTTGCACACTTGTGCGAGCTTGCTTGCTCTTGCTTGTTACCTCAGTTACTCCCTACCGTTCTTCACAGGCCAAGTATTTCGGAAAGAAATAAATTAAAAAATACCCTGAGTCACAGAGATTCGTGTTAGGTCAGCTAAACTCTCACTATGAAACACGGGGCTTTTTCATTCATTACTGAAGAAAATCCATCAGTCCTGGCAGGCGGGTCTGCCCACTCCACCCCAGCTCGCTGGGGAAGGATTAGAGATTTCCATTAACTACACGGGATCAGGAAGGCGCAAACGCCACCAAATTAATACAGCATTTCTAGGCAAATAGTAACGGCCCAAGAAACAACGCAGCAGCCAACCAGTTCTGGAGTATTAGATCAAGCTCTGGCTGGAGAAGTTGCTCTGGGTATGAATTATTCGAAACGTTACTAACCGGTTTTATTTTAAAAACGTATTTTACCTGTTCCCCACCCTCAGGAAGGGAAGAGGGTTGAGGAACACATCACACGTGAGTGAGTGAAACGCCAGGAGCCCCTGCTCAGGCGACACTCCGGACACGCTCCCAAATCTCCCCCGCTTCCAGCACGGAGCAAAGCTCTGCCAAGCAAGGGCGGGAATCCAGACTCGTCGCCACGTGTGTGAACGAGGCCAGGAGCCGTCCTGCCGGCGCTCCTCAGCGCAGGCTCCATTACAAATATTTTCTAAGAATGAATTAAATTTATTGCTGTGCTTCTATGTTTAGCCGCTCGGCTGAGGCCGTTTCCACCAGGCTGCGCCTCGGTAACGTCTAGGCTGTGCTTGGGGACACTCGGGAAGCCATTCCTCATTTAAAAACATCATTTACACCTAAAAAAGCAATCATAATGCACCCGGTGAAATATGAAGAAATGATCATCCTGACCCTTCAGGCTACGATCTAATGGATGGGTTGGACATAAACATTTATTTAAAAGGTAATTTGAAGTTTATGACATTATTTCCCATCACATGGGAATTGCTATCATACTGAGGCACTTACTCTGTTTTTTATTTCCCAACATTTATTATCAAACTTATGTGGTAGTCACATGCAGTATATAATGGAAAAGTAATATCGCTGTGTGACAAAAACTGCCATAACCAAGACAAATATTCTGTAAATAATGTCCAGTTAAATGAGTTCAAAGTACAGCACAATGATCATCTGTAGAGAGCTTTTTATTTGAGCCATAATTAATAACCTTAAACAAACCATAAAGAATATTCTCAGAAATAAACCTGGACCTCTTCCAGTGAGGTTCAAAAGCCGCTCTAATACTTGGTTATCCTGATAAGGACGTGGAGAAGCGCAAAGCAGCAGCGATTTCCATAGGTGCAGCAGAGGGAATTGCAAATAGCAGAGCCCACGTGGGACTCAATCCCTGCGTGCAGAACAGGGGGGTTCCCCACATTTCAGGAGGGGCCTCAGGAGACTCGTTGGGCCTGGAGCACCGCAGGCGCCTCGCGGCCTTGGCGCGGCGCGGGCGGATGGGGCAGGTTTTCACATGGGCTCTGTGAGCTTCCAGAGATGGAGGGAAACGCGCCCTGCACTTCCACAGTCCCTGGGAAGGCTCTCGCCACGTGGCCAGAGGCAACTGCATTGGGGGATTCTCCCACTGTTTAGCAAATGGGCAGACGTGTGTGGGATGCAGAGCCCTGCTGACCTGCACATCCTCTCCAGCCTGTGCATGCATCTTGGAAGTGAGGAGGCGCCAGGGTCACCCCCGGCCAACCCAGCAAACCCCAGTTTGGAGAACTTTTTGTCTTCCACCAAGACCAACCGGTACAGCAGGTACCCATAAAATCCATTAAGAGCACAAGTTTCCTACGGAGACACCGTGGTACAGGCAAAGGTTACAGGAGAGCAACCCGAGGGGACACGCAAGGCTGCGGCGGCAGCGCTCACGCCGCGTTTCACCCAGCTCCTCCACAGCAGAGCCTGGCGCTCTGCCTGGAAGGGCACCACAAAAAGAAAAAGAAAGAAAAAGGAAGCGCTTACATGGCGCATTTATTGAGAAAGAGCACACACATTAGACAAAGAAAAAAACTATTATTAAAACTGGTGGATGAGCCCTTTCAACCTGAGCTGGCTAATATTCTATTAGAAACAAATCTGTTTCAGCTGGCATAGTCTCAAAAATGTAGTATTCATTTTACATGTGAAACAAAATTCAGTTTTTGCACAAATTTTGAACTAGAAATGCTGAAAACTAATTCTAAAGGATTCCAGGCTGCAATATATAACAAAATATTCCATAAAAACTGAGAGCAGATATAACCTTTTAAATAGTAGGTATGGAAAAAGACAGACCTTTAAAATGTTCTTTTTCTCCAATTTAATACACTCAATTGAGTATTATCCTCACTTTTCTTGAAATTAAGGAGGTGCTATTCACTGGGTGAGCTGTTGAAGTCTGCAGGGACTTCAGCAGGGATTTAACCATTTTTATGTATAACAAAAGTCATGACAGAGTGAGATTTAAAAGAAAATGAAAAAATAAGGTAAGCTCTTTTTTACGCAAATGAATCTGGGACTACAAACATCATTATTCCCTAACTAAATTTGCTTAGCGCTACTACAGGGTGAAGCAAAAGTCATTTAGCAGCCTTTGGTTTGCTTCTGCATACTTATAATGCTTGTAGGCGCCGTAAATTCAACTTTAACTTATTTATAGTGTTTGCAGCTTTGGGGACAATTACATTTTTACTACCATTTATTTTTGAGTTATTGAAACACACTTTCCAGCTTTCGTTTCATTTCAAGGTACCTTTTGTCAAAGAGTAACAAGAATTGTTTGCATGTTTGGAATATTTATACACATACTTTCTACCATTACTGGAAAAAAAAAGGTGAAGGATATTGAAAAAAAAAAGGTTATAAGCCACATTTTGAGAGAACAATCTCTGCCAGAGCGTCCAAAACAACAATAACAAATTAAGATGTAAAATGTGTTTATTTGATTGTCAGTACAGACTTGCTCTCAACGGTTCAGCTTATTGACTGGACCCTCGCATTGCACCACTACCTATATAGCTGTCTATAGGTATAGCAGCTACCTACAGCTGCTCAGCACAGGGATTTTGCTTTGTTTTCTTTCCAGGTGACTTAAATAACAGCTCTGTGACATTTTCCTAACACCCCCAATTTTGATCATAGTCTGCGAAATGAAAATTTTCAATTATTTTGGCAGTCCCAGTGTTTTCTGGTGGTGACTCATGCAGTTCTGGTACCCTTTTCTCCGTATACACAAAGAAAGGGGAGGTTATGCAGGAGGGGAAGGGCAAAGGAAAACTGCTTATATTTAAATGGGAAATGATTCCTTCTGTTTGTATTTCTTGAGTCCTGCTGGAGCAGGGGACTGGACTAGATGATCTCTAGAGGTCCCTTCCAGCCTCAACCATTCTGGGATTCTGGGATTCTTTCATTCCTTCTCTTTCATTTCACGCATTTGCAGTCTGATCCTTCAAAACAAACAAATATATCCATAATGGTATTGTATACATCCATACACGTCCAATAGACATGAACAGTTCTGATTTTCACAGAATCACAGAAAGGAGTGT